GGGGGGGGGGGGGGGGGGGGGGGGGGGGGGGGGGGGGGGGGGGGGGGGGGGGGGGGGGGGGGGGGGGGGGGGGGGGGGGGGGGGGGGGGGGGGGGGGGGGGGTGACTAAATTAAAATTATAAACTTGCAACAATTTTTTATTACAACTAATTATGTATTGGTGCTAGGTCTACATACAATCTGCAAAAGGGCAGCATACTGCAACGAACCACACCAAAAGAATTTGATGTCAATTTCTATGAACTATTCTGTAGTTACTATACGATATGCCTACCCCTCACTAAGTTCTCCCAAACAACTACATAGAACCTAGAGGCCAGCTGCCACAATCCAATTCATATGAGAGAGAGAGAGAGAGAAGGAAAAGCTAAATTTAAATTAAAAACTTCCAACAATTTATCGTAATCCCATTCAACTAACCATGTATTGGCAATAGGCCTATGTATAATTCTGCAAAAGGGCAGCATACTGCAATGAACCATACCAAAATATTTTTGAAGTCAAGTTCTATGAACTATTCTGTAGATAACATATGACGTGCCTCACCCTCACTATCTTCTCCAGGACAACTACATAGAAACCTACTAGGTCAGCTACCACAATCTAAATCATATAAGAACGAGAGAGAGGAAAAGGGAAGACTTCAATTAAAATAATATAAACTCCAACAATTTATTGTAATCCATTTCAACTCAACATGTATCTAGGTCTATGTACAGTTCTGTAAAAGAGCAGCATACTGCAACGAACCATACCAAAAGTTTTTAGATGTTAAGTTCTATGAATCCTGAGGTTTCGAAAAATGTTCTAAATGGCTCCTGAAGTCATTTGACCGTCAGTAGACTAATGCAAACATGGTGTGACAATAACTAGTTTGCTGACTTGGAACTCATATTAATTTGAACTTTGTGTATTTTATCTTTACGAAATTGGACATTGGTTTTTGCATGTCAGACACATTCAGAGCGTGTCTAGATGAGTTTGTGTCCAACATGCACAACCTAACTAAAATAGAGTTTTCGTGCTTCCTATACACCACTGAAAAAGTACAAGCACAGAATATACACAAGGTTACATTGCAAACACAACTGCACCATCTTCAAAAGAAAATTCAGAAAAAAGAAGAAAAAAACAGCAAATGTACATATAGGTGTAGATGGAGGTAGAGGTGCATGACATAGGTGCTAGGCTGTCTTCTAGAAAAGAAAACAAACTAATTTAATTCACAAATTAATCAAGAGCTTCATCTTGAAGCTAGAAAATAATCTTGACGTTCAAATTTATCTTCAATTTTCAGTAACTCTCACTTGTATTAATCAGGAAGAGTCATCCAAAGACTTGAATTTTCTTTGTTCCATTGCACAACACTAAGAGAAAATAGGAGAGAATTACCTGATCTTGATTTCTTGAACATGTTTATCTGATATGGAGTAAAGCATGGTATAGTTTTTCAGGTCAAACACCTTGTATATGCTGACAACAAAAGAGCAGGAAAAAAGAAACAAGTTGCAATAAGAATAAGAATAAAATGAAACAAAGACAAATAAAAGAAAGACAGTAAAGTTACCTATCCTGTGCAGAGTAGGTTAGAACCTTCCCATTAACATCATCAAACTCGACAAATCCAGGCCACTTCAACGATTCAGACTCAAAAAGTGCGAAACCAGCATCAGGCTTGCCCCTTCGAATATATCTAGTAGATTTGAGGAGGAAATATCAGAAGAGATAAATATAAGCATTGAATTGAAGAAAATGAATAATACAAACACGAGCAATGGAATTTTACATACTCAATCCTTGTAGATCTGCATTTCAAAGAGCTGAAGTTATCAGAAGCATAAACTGAAACTGTGATAAGTGAATCATTGTTCTTATTGTAAAACAAACTCCGAATGACCTCATCAGGGCTGACATTCAAGAAGCATATCCTTTCATTGGTCTCTGTACACGAAATAACCAACACATGTCATTCAGGAATTTTCGTTTAAGAAGACTCACTAGGGCATAATGTAGTTACCTCTACTAAAAGCTGCACAAACACCAGAATGTGCGAGCGCAAAAACAATATCACGTGCAGCAACAATTTCTATTACTTTGGTCCTCTTCATTAGAAAAGGTAAAACTGGTGAACAATGCCCCTTTGGATCATGAGTATCGTATTCCTCCTGATACGATTAAAATGATTAAATAGAAAGAAAATATAAATTTTACAAAGAAAACAACATTCAAGTAATTTATGTCAATTCCAAGCACATGGATCAAACTTGAGGATAATAGTTTCCAATGTCCAATAGTAGCAGATTCTTAAGTATATTCTCAACAGCTTGGAAAGCTATCATATCAGCCCAAATCTCAATAGCATAAGGCCAATTGCACGGATCCTTCCTGCTATTACATATTTTCTATTCAATTCGACCATCAATCACTTGCAGAATCCAAGGCCTTGTTAATGCCGTGAATTATAACTATCACTCTTAATAATCAACCTAAAGCATGACACATGATAACAAATGGACTCCGTAAGTAAATTCTCAAACAATAATAAAGTTATCCCTTGTGACAAAATCATCACAAAACACCACAAAACACTAATCACGGAAATCCAGCCCACACCAAGATATACAGTCCAGCTTCAATGAGAGTGGAGGTGAATAAGTAAAACAATAAACAAAATGACTTAGATACACAAGAGTATGGCCAAACAGAATGTACTAAATAGTTAGTGATGCAAACGTAATTCCCTTGACGTGAGTGCCTATCCTTTTACAGCAACAAAATAACATGGCCAAGAAAAAATAAAATTCACATTCAATTCATCTGTAATAGAAGATTCTAGAAAAGGAAAACAAAGAAACCATCTGCAACATATAAGCGCAAGAAAATTTCATATTTCTTCTAAACAATTTGTTAGGCTGAGGTGTTAGAACTGTCAAGATCAGGAAATAACACTGAAGTCATTTAATTGGCTCCATCGTTGGAAGGGGAAGCGCACTAGGGAAATCCTTTTAACCATAGATAAAACGACGCCCCGATCTAAGACATCCTATAAGCAGTTACCGGTACATACGCAAAGGAACATTTTGTCTAAATGAACAGAAATGGAAAAGGGTGAAAGAGGCATCGGCCAAAAGCTTCCCACAAAATCAGTCAAACTGGAAAAAGAACAAAGAAGGAGATATCCTGCGAAGGAGGAACAAAAATGAAGTGGGCTAGAGTTTTTTCTTGAAAAAAAAAACATCTTATAGCCAAACAAAATGAAGCTGCAATGAGAGAGGAGAAGTGTGTAATGCAGTAAAGAACAGCCAAATAGCACAAGATGCAAAAGGAAAAAGAACAGACCATCAAACGCATGTTGCGAAATCTCTCTTGCGCATTACTCATACTAAAAGCACGATCTCGCTTCGAGCAAATCTCCCGTCTCTGCAGCTTCTTCACACTATTAACAAACCCATCAACCCGCTGCCGCTTCTTAGCCAAAATACGCCGACCAGAACAAGGTCGAGGACTCGCCGAAATCCTCCTCCCTTCCATGAGTTTCCCCCCAACAACAACAACACTTCTACTTCTCCTCGTTCAAAGCAGGAGCGAATTTCACATAACCCTCCAAAAGAAAACCCCAATTACTTACACAAATCCTCACAAACAGAAGGTTTAAACTCCGGAAGGAAGTCAATCGGCGAAAGAAACTGAATCGCGTGGATGTCGAAGCAAATGGCGGTGGAATTAGAAAATCCGGAAACCCTAGCAGATAAAAACTCACCGGGAAGTAAAAATGGGAAGATGAAGGAGTGTGTCTCCGGTGAGGCGGCGGAGTGAGGCCGCCGGAGCTGGGAGTTGGAGTGTGTCAGTGGAGTCCAAGTGAAGTCGGATGGGATTGAACACCAGACATCGCTAAACCTTTGAAGATGAGCGATGAAGAAGAAGGGGGAAAACGAAACACGAAGAACAGGATTTAAAATTCTAAAATCCCAATTTATATAAAAAAAAATATATTACATAATATCAAATTGACTAAAATGCCCTCCATTAAAAAAACAAAAAATCAATAATATTCCTTAAACTTTTAAAAAAATATATTTACCTAAAAAAAATAATATTGAAAACCGTTGAATTTTGTTTAAAAAATAGCCTTAAACTTTTAAAAATGTTTCAAAAATACCCGAGTTTTCAAAATTTTCATTAATATTTTATTATTAAAATAATTAAATAAATTAAATATATACTATGTTCAGGCTACAAGGTCGTCGTCTATCTTATAGTAGTGAGGAGTGACTGACTCATACATGCGTCGTAGTTGGTTTATACATGGAGTCGCTCTCCACGTGTTTATGACATTACTCATGTGTCTCTTCGTGTTATAAGGTTACCCTTTTGGGGCTACTAGATAGTCACCGACTAACTTGAAGTAGTGAAGCATTCTAATAAATGAAGCACATATGACCGTAGTTGGTTCAGGCTCGAGATCACTCCCTTCATGTTTGTGATATTACTAGGGTACTACTATGTCGGGGCTACTAGAGAGTCCCCAGCTACCCTCTAGCAGCGAGGTGTTTATTATGACTGACCCATATATGTATCGAGTTTGTTAGAGGTAGGGAACCAACTAATTACACTTCGGGCCAGTTAAGTCTAAAAACATGACTTTTATGTTCTGAAATAAGTACGAGAGGACGACTTAATGCCCAGTAAGTGACAAAAGCCTATAATGTTTAAAAATAATTATGATCGTACAAAGTGAAATTACTTGCCTACCCCTATTATATTATTTTTAGCAAATTAATCGCAACCATGTTATAAATTAAAATTTTATTATCATCATCGATAGACATCATTTTTTTTTGTTAATTTTAAAATTAACTATAATATCAGTTCTACAAAATAATCAATTTTTTTTTTATATTTTTTAAATTCAAATATTTATACACAGTAAATTTTGTACTCTATTTAATAGTTTTTTTTATTGAAAAATATAGAAGTAAACTTAAATTATTTTTATTGAATGTAATTAATTACATTTTAAATGGCATTAAAAACCATGAATGCTGAAAAGGTTACGTATTTAAGTTTAATTTCATCGTCATAAATAAGAATGCACAAAAATTATTATATTAATAAATATTTGTTGGCTGCCTGAAAATATTTCATCCTCGTAAATAATCATGCAGCTGGGACACGAAAGCCTTTTTAGCTGGTATCGTTGTTGAGGATTATTGAGAGTGAGTCCCACATTGGTTAATTTAGCGTAACATCATGTGTTTATACTCGGAAACACTATCTCTATTAATATGAGATCTTTTGGGAAGCCAAAAGTAAAGTCACGAGGGTTTATGCTCAAAGTGGACAATGTCATATCATTGTATAGAGTCGTGTAGGAAATATTGACAGCTAGTCACATCCCCTATAGTACATTTTCAGGCATTTTAGCCACGTGAGTGTATATATGATTTTGATAACCAATCATATACCATCGTATTGACACAACATGAATAGTTACGACATGTCTAATATAAAAGCAAGTAAAAAGAGTTTGAAACGAGCATGCGACCATGGACAACATGTCCTGGACGAGTATTACTTGGACACCCGACAACGCCCACAGGTAACACGCATTATTCAAGCATGACCGTGAGACATGAGAGAATGATGGGTGAATTAGGAGGCATCTTGGACAAGCATTACCGGGACATCCGACACGCAGCCACGTACAACACCCCCTTAGACAAACATGACTATGCACAGAGGTAGGACGAGTGGTGAATTGGGAGGGGACAGAGACAACAAATACAATCCCGACATTAACCCGTCAGTTAATGGCGAGAAATCTCTCCTCATTTCTTCATCTCTTGTCGGTTTAAACATGAATTTTTCGAGCAACCAGCAAGATTGAGTTAGACACTAAAAAGAACCATAATGGATTAACACATCTTGATCTTATTTCAACACTAAAAAATGATTTTAATTATTATAATTAATCATTGTTCATCCGCTTAAATTTGATATTCAAATCCATCTTTTAAATTTCAACCCTTAAAAATTTGGCTGTGATTTTCGCACACTTTTTCGCAGCGAGCTTAAAAATTGGTTTACGTTCATTTCCCCCCTCAAATTTTGCCAAGATTTTCAGTTTTGAATTTTCTCCCAACTCTTGCCGCTGCTTCTGTTTCCCTAGTAATCGACTTCCGATCTTCACGAATTATTCAGATTGAAGCTTTCGTTAGGTAAATTTTCAGATTGCTTTTGTTTCTCTTCTCCATTTGAAACTCTACAGATCCTCTAATTTGCAACAACCATTGAAATTTATACGCTTTTCGCTGGAATTTTAGTTGCTCTTTACCGATTTACTCTTGCAGTTTGGTTCATTCGCTGTAGCTTGTTCGATTTGATGATTTTAACAGTTGCAACGTAGTTATTTGATTTATATTTGATATCACTTTCTATAATTCCGTTTATATTCTACAGATGAAACTGATACCATTATCGTTGAATGTGCTAGCACGAATTTTTATTCTGGTTTGAAGATGATAAATCAGATAATGTTTAGATTGGGCAGTGGATGGTTTTTCATAGCATGGTTTTGTAATTTCTGGAGGAGGAAAATCTTGGAACTTAGAAGTTAGACATCAAGCCTAGAGATTTAAGTGGAGAGTTTAGAAGCATGAGTTTATGAAAACTGTGTTTGGGATGCAGATTTTAGATGCTTTGGTTTAGTTAAACCCTTGAATTTGTGTCATAAACCTTAGGCGTGAGAAAACTCCTTGACTGAACTCAAACCCTCCCTCAAATACCCTGTAGAATTTGCTAGTGTGTAGCGAAATTTCTGCCCTTGGTTTTTCTGTACGGTGGGGGCGCTTTTAAGTTTCCTCGGAAGTGTTTACTTCCAATTTCTAATCCAAAATTTGTGAGAACAACTTTTAACCTTGCCCGGATACGAACCAAGGCATTTAAATCATGCAATATAAACGTTAAGGAAGATGCGAAGAAAATGTTGTTAAATTACCATGAGATCTCCAGTCATATTGAGTGAAATCAAGTTTGAACAAAAGTTGCAATTAGTGCTATATTAAGGAAGAATCAATCTTTATTTTGCAACCACGGATTCAAGTTACTTTAAATGAGATTTATTTATTCTTAGATGGTTATGAATTCTTGGGTGGATGATTGAAATCTACTATTTTTGGATTTATGGTGTTTTATTCGTGTATTTTTTAGCTTTAAGACTTTTTATTTACTTTATAGTTACATTTACAAAATGGTTAATTAATGGTAATAAAGTATGAAGGCTACAACTTTTGGAATGCCTCATGGAAGGTCAAGGATTTCATCTGCGACCATTAGGTTAAAAGCCCAATGCTCTACCAACTGAGCTATACACCAAAAAAAAAAAAGAAAAATAGGTGGACCATGTATGTTGTCTTTGTAAAGGAGATTTGAAAACCGTAGTAAAAAGAATATTTGTGCCTTGTTTTAGCCTAGAGCTAAGTTTCTTTGCAGTTCTACGTAGTTTAGGTTTCATGCTTAGAATTATTCAAGGTTGACTTGATCAATCTTGTTTGTGGAGTGATTCGAATCTCAAACAAGTTTTCTTGTCTTGAGATATTTGATCAACAAAGTACTCCATATCTTATTTTCCATGGGATGAATTCTTTATCATTTTGGGATTCTTGAATATTTTAGATCTAAAGGTCTTGTTCTTCAATAAGATTGTTAGATCGAACTCTCATAAATTTTATATCATTTGGGATGAAATCATCTTGAATTGAGGGTTTTAACATGTATGATTTAGGGGTTTGCATATCCGTGATGGGTTCTCAGATCCAATTGGCTAGAGTTCTCATACCATGCTTTAGTTATCCGTATCAAGAATGAAACTGTTATTTTGTATTTGAATAGTCTAATTTCCTTTTTAACAGAAATGGCTGGTCAATCAGATCCTCACCTGACCCTATTTTCTGCAGAAGAGGTATCCTCTTTATGCTCTCTCTAAATGGTTAAAGCAATGTTATCTGGCATTGATGCTAAATTGTTTCGGGGATTCTTGTCCAGATCGAGTTTGTAGCTGAAGATGAAATGGTGGAGATTGTTCCTAATATGAGAATGGATTCTCTAAATTTGATTTGTGTATGTTGTCTTCTTCACCTATTCTGTTCATGTTTAACATATGCTGTCTGCTTTATTGTAGGATTCTTCAATTTTCATTGTTGTGTGTTTTTTTATCTTTTCTTCGTGCTAATGCTGAGTGTTTTTAATTTCCTTGTTTCCTCAAGGGGGATTATGGTCCGTTCTATCCCCAAATCGCCACTGAAGTTCCATTGTGGCTAGCGATTGCTCTGAAAAAAAGAGGGAAATGTGCAATTAGGCCTCCAGAGTGGATGTCTGTTGGTAAGTTCTATCTGTTATATATGGTGAAATTTCTTTCATGCGTAACACGCATAATCTGCAGGCTTTTTCTTTGTTCTTTTTTGGAGAATGTCGACGGATTCTCCTGGATTAAATAACTTGATCTGATGCAATTACTAGTCTGCATACTCAATTGGAGGATATAATATCTATAGATCTAGAATTTACGTCGGTTTTGTAGATTAATATCGAAGAGATCATTACATTCCAAGTATACAGGAATCAGTGCTGTTGAGCAATCCTCCTATCATGGACCATGGTTTCAAGCTTGAAACACAGGGTCACGCCAACATGAATGGGATATAAAAATGCTTTCTTTATGCAATAGAAGAACTCCTAGCATCCTTGCAAACCATGTATCGATTTAGTGGATGAATATCAAAAAATTATAGAGTGGTTCTATGTTTAATATTACATTCTTCAGACCTACGTGAAGGATTCATCGTCAAGGAAACTCCATCTCCCAGAGAAAAACCAAATAAAGTTACAATTCTATGGTACAGCTGACCTTAGCTTGTTACTTTTTCTTTAGAGCTCGT